CCGTGGTTCGCCAAGAGATCGCGAATATGGGCATTTCGCCACCTCATCAAAATGCCTCTGCTACTTCCAGCTCGGCTCCAGTCGTTGCGGCTGCCACTCCGAACCGCACGTTCGCGCCACGACGAAACCCAGCTGAATGGCGCACTCATGATGATCGGCCCATATGTTTTACGTGCCATCGGATAGGACACATCGCTCGCCATTGCCGCAGCCGGTGGACCTCATCACCTCGACCGAGCTTCTATGATTGGCGGCCTCGCTCTGAACGTGCACCTTATGCCCCGTCCTACCGTGCTGAGACAGGTGCAGAGTATAATCCAGAACGTCGGACCAGCCGCTCGCCATCGCCCGTGCGTCGTCAGTCCCGCTCGCCCCAACCCCGCCGTTCTCGGTCTCCTTACGACCGTCGCTCGGAAAACTAGCCGGTGCAGCCCCCGGAGGTGACGCTGCATACACGACTTGGACTGCAAATCCTCTGATTACTCCCGACCAGCGGTGCAACCTCCTAACAATTCTCGTTGATGATTTACCTATAACGGCTCTTATTGATACCGGTGCACAAATATCTGTGATGAGCTCAGACCTCCGCCGCCGCCTCAAAAAAGTTCTGACGCCTGCGATTGCACCTACCGTTCGTACCGCGGATGGGAGTACTCCTGCTGTGCTTGGAATGTGCACTGCGCGATTAACAATTTCTAAGCATCAAACTTCAGTTTGTTCGCTGTACTGGAAAATTGCCCTCATGACCTAATCCTTGGACTCGACTTTCTGACTTCACACGCTGCGCTCATTGACTGTTCCAAAGGTCTTCTTCAGCTCGAACTACCATCCTTTTCGGAGACCGTCTCTACCAGCCCACCTCGTCTACGCTCTGTCGATTTCCTTAGACTTCCGCCGCAAGCCGCAGTCCAAGTCCAACTCTCGCCATATCCTGCAGTACCCGATGGTGATTATGTTGCTGCCCCGATTTCTGACGTCGCCATGACACGCAATGTTGCACTCCCCAACACGGTGGTTACCGTTAAGGACAACCGAACTTCGTTTCCCGTCCTCAATTTCGGCCTCTCAGCGCAAGTTATTCCTCGCGGCATGTCACTTGCGCATCTTACACCACTGGTCGACCACACAGTTTCCGCTCTAACCACCAATTCGCCACCCGATTTTTCATCAACGTCGTTCTCGTCACGTTCCTGTTCCGACCTTTTCAAGCCAATGCTATCTGACAAGCTCACCTCTGAACAAGTCTCTGCTTTCTGCCGTGTGCTTGCTCCTTATCAGGACATCTTTGACTTCGGCGACCGTAATTTGGGCCAGACATCTGTAGTAACCCATCGCATCGACACCGGTGACGCTCGACCCATTCGCCGACGACCCTACCGTGTGTCAGCCCCGGAGCGTGCTATTATACAGCGAGAAGTCGATAAAATGCTTGATAAGGGCATAATCGAACCCTCATCTAGTCCCTGGTCCTCACCCGTTGTACTTGTTAAAAAGAAGGACAATAGCTGGAGATTCTGTGTTGATTACCGCCATCTCAACCATATTACCAAGAAAGATGTCTATCCCCTACCGCGCATAGATGATGCACTCGATTGCTTGCACGGTGCCAAATATTTCTCTTCAATAGACCTTCGCACAGGCTACTGGCAGATCGCTGTGGACGACAAAGACAGAGAGAAGACGGCCTTCGTGACTCCTGATGGTCTTTATCAGTTCAAGATGATGCCTTTTGGATTATGCAATGCCCCCGCGACATTTGAGCGCATGATGGACTCTCTCCTTCGAGGCATGAAGTGGACCATCTGCCTCTGCTATCTTGACGACGTTATTGTTTTTTCGACTACTTTCGACGACCATCTTACCCGTCTGTCCGCAGTGCTTGATGTTTTTCGACGTGCCAACTTGCAACTTAACTCGTCCAAATGCCGCTTTGGGCAACGCCAAATTTGCGTACTCGGCCATCTTGTTAACGCTGCGGGCGTTCAACCAGACCCTGCGAAAGTCCGAGCAGTTCGCGACTTCCCCACACCCCGCTCAGTCAAGGACGTCCGAAGTTTTCTGGGACTGTGCTCCTATTTCCGTCGTTTTGTCGAGAAGTTCGCTGAAGTAGCCCGTCCTCTAACCTGCCTCCTCAAAACGGATGTCGCATTCACCTGGGGCCAACAGCAAGCAAACGCCTTCTCGTCGCTCGTCGACATTCTCACCAATCCACCAGTCCTAGCACACTTCGACCCATCTGCTGCTACGGAGCTTCGTACTGACGCCAGTGGCCACGGCATAGGCGCAGTGCTCGCGCAGCGGCAACAAGGAATGCACCGCGTCGTCGCGTATGCAAGCCGTCTGTTGTCGCGCTCGGAACAAAATTATTCCATCACAGAACGCGAGTGCTTAGCTCTCGTCTGGGCCATTGCGAAATTCCGACCGTACCTGTATGGCCGACCATTCTCAGTTATTACGGACCACCATGCGCTTTGCTGGCTCTCCTCACTCAAGGACCCTACGGGACGCCTTGGTCGCTGGGCGCTGCGCTTACAAGAGTACACTTTTTCCGTATCCTATAAATCCGGACAACTTCACAAGGATGCCGACTGCTTGTCCCGTTACCCAGTCGATCCCCCTGACACGAGGGAAGATGAGCAAGAGGCCCTCGTTCTTTCAATTACCGACTTCACCGACATAGCTGCTGAACAACGCCGCGACCCCTCTTTGCGTGCTATTATCAATGGTCTGCACTCTCCCCACCCTGACCACTCCTTACAACTGTTCGTTCTTCACAACGACATCTTGCACCGCTACAACACCCGCCCTGATGGTGCTGAGCTTTTACTCGTTGTTCCTGTGCATCTTCGCTCAGACGTTTTGGCCCAGCTGCATGATGCCCCCTCCGCTGGACACCTAGGGGTGTCACGCACGTATGACCGCATTCGCCGCCGATTCTTTTGGCCTGGCCTCTACCGTTCTGTGCGACAGTACGTTGCGGCATGCGACCTCTGCCAGCGCCGCAAGACACCTGCTCTGAGACCTGCTGGTACCCTCCAGCCCATTGAAGTACCAGATGAGCCATTTTTCCGAGTCGGCCTCGATCTTCTAGGACCCTTTCCCGTGTCGGCCACCGGTAATAAGTGGATTGCTATTGCTACCGACTACGCAACGCGGTATGCCGTTACACGCGCCCTCCCCACCAGCTGCGCTACTGATGTAGCCGATTTCCTTCTTCATGACATCATTCTGCGTCATGGTGCTCCTCGTCAGTTGATCACCGACCGCGGCAGCTGTTTTCTATCTAAAGTAGTCGACGAGCTCCTGCGATCCTGCTCTACCCACCACAAGTTCACTACAGCGTACCATCCGCAAACCAACGGCCTCACGGAACGCCTCAACCGTACCTTGACGAATATGTTAGCGATGTACGTTTCCAAGGATCACAAAGATTGGGACATCCACTTACCTTTCGTTACCTTCGCATACAACAGTTCACGTCATGATACAGCTGGATTTTCCCCTTTTTACCTACTGTTCGGTTATGACCCGCCTTTGCCCATGGACACCATGCTCCAATCTGACGCCGCCTCATCGACTGCTTATGCTCGTGATGCCCTGGCCCGAGCTGACATCGCCCGCCAAGTCGCCCGGGATCGTTTATGTGCCTCGCAGCTTAACCAAAAGAGTGCTTACGATCGCCGGCACCGCGACGTACAGTACTCTCCGGGGTCACTCGTCTTGCTGTGGTTACCATCACGTCGTGTTGGTCTCAGCGAAAAACTGATGTCCCGTTACGTTGGCCCCTACCGCGTCATACGCAAGGTCACCAGCGTGACCTATGAGATAGCTCCACTCCATACCACGTCAGTACCAGCTTCAGTCCCGACCGATATAGTGCACGTCTCACGGCTTAAGCCATACTTCTCACGCCCCGAGAATTGATCGCACCGGGACGGTGCTTCTGCCGCCGGCGGGTAATGTCACGGGCTAAGTAGATGCCTGAGGATGACGACGACGAAGTGCTGAACGGGAACGTGCTCGGACTGCAGCAGCGTCGTACGCATTAGCTCGCCAGTATATTCGCCAGTGCACATTTGTTCATCAGTGTATACTTTATTCCCCGTAACAATATATGCGACAACGGGGTCCACTGAAATGATTTTTCGAACTCATTATTAGCAGTGATAAAAAGTAGGCGGAGTGGCACACTTTGTGTACCCAATAAATAATTTGGAACCATACTTATCATAGTGATGTAGCTAACGAGAATAAGAACAGTAGGATGCTTACTTTATCATTCTCTTGTGTAATTGTATGCAATTAAATAACTTCGCATATTTCGTGGAAAGTGAGATGCGAATTGAGTGGCCGGCGTGGTACTTTTATTTTTCACATTTTTCATTTCGTATCTTGCATGGCCATGCAAGACGGCTTTGGTCCACTGAAGTTAACCATCAATCAGTCAATTGCTTAATCGCTTGCCAAAACAGCCAAGTGATTTTTTGCACATAGTTCATATCTAGCTTTACTGGACACCAGCGGTTTAGTTCGCGTGAACGACACCACCTGGCGTATCGACCTTAAAGATTTCAACAGTTCCGCCATGACGTACGCAGTGACGTAACAAGGAAAAAAAATTAATAAAACTGGTGCACACATCTTGTGAATGTCGCTCCACCTCAGTGCGCAGAATAGAATGCGGTGTGTCAGCGTAATCTCGACGGCGACGACTGGCAATGAATCGACAGTTTTTCTAGACCTACCATGCCAGACAGCTTGGAGCATTCCGCACTAAATTTCTGGCCGTCATAGAGCTTCATCGATTTACTAAGTCCCGAGCCAGTCCGAGCCGGCGCGCGGACCCTCGCTGACAGGAAACAACGTGATCGGCGTCATTTGTCGCAAAAATTATCAGGGAAGACCGACACCGGGTGCGGCTGTATGTAGAAAGCGTGTTTGACAGCTACAATGACAAAGAGTTCCGAAGGCTGTTCCGTTTACAGAGGTGCACCACTGAGATGATCACGGCCGACTTCGAGTCTTCGTCATACTATCCTCGCGGTGGGCGCGGAAGACAGAAAATAACAGCATTGAAGACTATGCTGATCACCCTGGCGTACCTGGGCACGCAGTGGTCCATGAATGCCATAGCCGACAAGTTTGGTGTCAGCGAGTCGACGGTGCACGTCGCGATACGCCGCGTTTTGGACTTTCTGCTGTCCATAAGCGAAAGAGAAATACGCTGGCCTAACGACGAGGAGGCTGCACGAAATAAGCGTGCGTTTCGCGCACTTGGCCGTTGTGACGGCGTCGAGGCTGGCCTGCCAGATGTCATCAGTGCCATTGATGGATGCCATGTTCGCATCACAAGACCCACAGACTGCGAGGAGGACTACTACAACAGCAATGAGTTCCACTCCATCATCCTCCAGGCTGTTTGTGATGCCGACATGGTGTTCTTTGGCGTATTCGTTGGCTTCCCAGGCAGAGCACACGACGCCAGGGTGTTGGAGGAGAGTTTTCTATTCGAAGAGGCAGCGTCGAGATTCGATGGTGAGCAAATAAGTAATATTCAATCGAATAAGATCGCAATTTCTACAGTTTTGTTTGGCTGACAGTGGCCTTGACTGATTTTTGTCGCGCTAGGGTAGCTAAACAACCCTTGTTCTGGAGTGTAAGCAAGAGAATAATGTTAAGAGTACACACTTTATATGTTTGTAGTAACTCACTAAAGTTGGCACTCCGAAGTAACATCAATGTACATTTGCAGGTGGATATCTTTTGGGGGATGCTGCTTACCCTCTGCTTCCGTGGCTGCTGCCACCTTACCGCCACGTCACAAGCAGCTGGCAGCCATGGATGAGCAAGTTTAACCATGTGCACTGCAAGCGACGCGTTGTTATTGTAATAGCATTTGGCCTGCTGAAGGAACGTTTCCGGCGATTGGACAAGATCGATGTTAACAGCATTCCGCAGGCTGTGGAAATTGTGATGGCAGCTTGTGTGCTGCACAACCTTGCCCGCAGACATGTCGATGTTTTTGAATATAGTGATATTGCAAACAGCGACCTTGGCATATTCTCCAGTGAGCCAGTTGATGTTGACCACAAACCTACGTTGGCAGCAAGGCTGCGGGACCGTTTGGCCCAGAATCTGCCATTGTGATTGTATGCTCTGTGTTAATTTTGCTGCATTTTGTGAACATCTTATTAACTCTTTTTATGTGAGCCATTGGAGTATGTGTCAGCTTATTATCATTACTTTAATTACTGTGATTGGTACGCTTTGAAGAGGACGTGTTTTGTGGGGAGCAGTTCAGTCTTCAAATGTATTCTACTACAGCAGAGTTTCTCAGCCATGTATATTTTCAGGACAGAAGAAATGATTTGCATTACTTGCATATTTTGGGGATCCCTGTGGACTGGTGGAACTGATGAGGCACCCCTCGCCTGAGCAGCTTGTAAATAAAACTGCCCTCATTCAAGCTTTTTCCAGCTATGTTTCCCCTTCAAATGGGATCGGGCCCGCATCTTTATGATGTAGGAAAATTCAACAAGCATTTCACAGCCATTTTATAGAAAAAGCGATACATAAACGAGCTGCACCGCAATGCGAAATTGTAGCCAAATATCAAGAATTTGAAAGGGGTCCAATTATGAGACATAATATGACTAAATAATTCAACTTTTTTTCTGACAATGACATTTGCAGATTTCCTGGCTCCAAGGAACTGCATTTAACGACCACAATACCAGAACACCGATTGCTAACACATAACATTGCTGCGTAGAATTTAATGTTCCGTTTTGTGTACACTCATCGTGTCTTCGGCTCACTCTTGATAGGAGTATGGTTAGCCTTAGTTATTGTAATAAGACCTCTTAGAGTTTCTGGTCAATTTTCAACTATTTTATAATGACACTCTGAAGCAGGTGATTACGTGACTCTTTTATGGGCGTAGGGTCTAAAAACATGTGTTTACGTCTTCGACAAAGTGGATGTGATAAACTATTAAAAAAATGTGAGAGTGCTTTTTAAGCTTAGCATTCAAGTCAGCACATTTGTATGGCAAGCTGAATACAATAATGTTAAAATACAATGGGCACCATTGTTGGGAAACACAGACCTACTCAGCGTCTGAGTTCGTGCAAATGCCCTTGCAGTCGTGGGTTTATCTATAATGATGACAAGTTTGTCCTAATACATACAAGTAACACGATTTTCGTTTAATTTCGGTTTGTAAACATTAACGCAAGAGGAAAGTTAAAACACCACTTTTTTCTTGTTTGTACCCCCAGTGTTTTGGGATGAATATGTGCAAACAGTCTCAGCTCAGTCTTACTGAAATAAAGATTACAGTGGTCATTACTTATTGTTATAAGTATTTCTGCAAATGTAATTCAAGAGTCACCGGTGCAGTTCGAAGCAAAAAACATTTATTGTGCTCATTGGGCAACTTGCAAACAACACAAACATTTCACTGATGTGTCGGGTCTGTTAGGCCAAGCACACCAGTACAGCAACTGACATTGCAAATGGTCGACTTATCATGCGAGGCAACGAGCACAAAGCTTTTTTTAGACTAGATTAAAGGTGCAGTTGTGTGGAGCAGTGCTGATCTCTCATCTGAAAGCTATAGTAGACATCAGAAGCAGGCATACATGCACATGCATGCTGTTCAACCACTCCATTTACTACTAAAGAAGCTTACAATATGAAAGGGCATGCATACTTTTTGGTGAAAGGTATATCATAACTGCAACAGGTGAACAATAAAAATTTGACAGGTTGACATGCTGGTTAAGGCGTTACACTGCTAAGCATAAAGATATAGGTTAAATACCAATTTTGTACAGTATATTTAGTGGGCGCAAATCGCTAGAACAGCTGTTTATCTTTACCTAGGTGCATGCTAAAAAAATCCAACAGCTTGAAATAAATGTCAGGTTTCCCTTTGGGGCATACCTCAAGTATTTTGTGACATTGATATGGCATGTTCATTTAAATCAAGCTCCACTAATTGATGCACAAAAAAGTGCTTCTGCAAAGCAGTAGTTACGAATGGATGTTTAAACCTTGAAGAATGAATAAAGCAATGCTAATGTTCCTAAATTTAACATTTAGAGGCACAGCGCTTTCCACGCATTGCATGACAATCAGTTCACAGGCGTTTTTGATGAGGAATGCACAGATGCGTTGCCGTTGGTGCAAGTAGCTTTTAAAGAGACACTAAAGTCACACAGCAATTTACGTCAGAGTGAAAGCTCAATGTTCGACAACATCCAAAACGACAATATTATCAACAACTGTGCCCTACTTACCGAGAAATTAAGGTAAATGCACAAGAACATAAGCGCCGCAGTAGGAAATTTTCAAAATGATCCCGATGAGATTAGACGAACCCCGTACAAGTAATCACTAATCAAAGTAACTGCACTAAATAAAGAACATTCCGGGCATTAAGAGATGCAATAAAATGCGGCTTTTTTGTTTCTGTTTGAGTCATGGAAAAAAGGACCGCCGGATGTTACTATGGGGAATGGCACGAGTGGTTCAAAAATTCAAGTTTCATGTGGTTAGAAGGTGCCATCTAGCGGGGAGCAGTTGAAACAAAATCACCTGCAATCTCGAAGCTAATGGCGGGAAATTGATCAATGGTTGTTGTTTCTGCTGTGGCTCTCGCTGCTTTCGGTCTGCTGCTACTAGCACAGTAAAGCCTGGCAACGTTGTGCATGGCAATAGTGACGTGAGACAGTCTGATCAGTCCGCTTCTTGAGGCGGGTAATTTGGAGTGCGCCAACCCGATGCAGATCCCTAAAACGTGATTTTATTTTGAAATAGGCCCTTCCTTGGCACAAAAGTGACACTAAGAGGTTTCTGCACCACCATTTCAACAATCAACGTCGACTAATAGTTGACTTTAGTGTCCCTTCACTGTTACAGTAAAGCTAAACAGTAACATCACGTATAGTAACAGTAAAGCAAAAAACAACAAGTTCTCCCCAAAGATATGCATGCATGTGAGGTACACTATACACTACCAGAACATGAGAGAGCTCACAACCAAGAGGACTCTGGATGTTGAGTTGTACTGTGCTGAGAAAAAGAGAAAAACAGCTAAAAGTTAATGTTGTGACAGAATAAGTTCACACAGGGGCGCATGGTGTTATAAGTCATGAGACTGGATGTTAATCAAAGGAGAAAACATGGCAACGGAAAAGGATAAGATAAGCTCCACACAGCAATGTTCTAACCTGCAAATTATTGCACGGCTAAAATTTTCTGCACTCAATATTGCTGGTAATGGACCAAATAACAGTAATAAGTGTTTCAGCTTCCTTGACCAAACGTTTCCTTTCTATATTTTAATCCCAATGTAGCAGAAATGATGAATCAAAGGGGTATCACACTCACATCAACCTTGTAACGAAGTTCTACATAAATGCATAAAAAAAAACAAAAACCCGTTCCCAATAAAAGTGGCACCATCTCAATGAAAACAACCTCAAAATGATTATGAGTGCATATTTAACAATTAGGGTGGCAGCACCTGGCTGGTAGCTCAGCCACCAAGGTGTTCCAATGGGAGCTCAAGGGTGAAGGTTGATTTCCTGGACATGACAGCTGGCTTTTAGCGGGGCAAAACGCAGGACTATCGATGCACTAACCATTATGAGAACGCCTAAGAGCACATTCAGGTAGAAACTCCAAATATCTATTTTTATCTTGCACCCCCACGTATAGCTCAACCCTTTTATAAGAGACGTACACCAGGAAAAAATTTGTCTCGAGCTATAACACGCAATAGATTGTAAACACGCAATACATTGTAAACTTAGCACTTTTCTAAGAGACTTACACCAGGAAAAAATTCTTGTCTCTTATATGAGATGTATCTTATAAACATGGTACCAGTTTCACATTTTCTTGTCAACCTCTATATTGACATAGGCACACCAGTGTCACACGCAGTTGTCTGTTACATCAGTGTCTCCTATAAAAGGATTTGACTGCATATTCTTAAATCATATGTGGATATTGCTTGTGAAAGCCTTGCTCTGCCACATCTCACTACAAAAATTTAGATCTCACGAGGCCTATAATGACAGCACTTACACACAATAGTGTGCATTGTGCACTTCGCCACTGTTAATGGAACTGAACTTATGAATATACACTTCACTACCTCTACAGTAGGCCTAATCTTCGTCTTACGTGCATGACTTGTAGTTTTTTCTTTGTATGTTTGCCATATGACTGAATTAATTTTCAAAAAAGGTGAGGACAAGTGTATCCCTACAAAGCACCTGTCTTTCAAGCAATTTTTCATAGCTTTGTTCCACAGTAAGGCGCTGACAGACAAAAAAGTAGTTGCCACGCATAATCAATATTTAAAGCTTTGAACTACTGTACCTATCACTTGTGACATCACTGCTCTTTTGTCACATAAGACATAACACCAAAAAAAGAAACAAACGCATATATAAATAATCACTGTACACTAAATATAACAACTGGCTCTAATTGCAAAACACTTTAAATGGAGTTTTTGGCGAAATAGGCAAACGTAAAAACATGTGTATGAATGTAAGCAACCGTGCTAAACAAAAAAATGAAATAAACAATTATAAATACGTTTGACAACACAACACATTTAATTGAACTCTATTAAATAAATGTATCCCAACAAAGAACATTCAAATTTACACTACAATGAACCATAACAAGTGTAGGGCCTAATTACTGTTGCTTCCAAGAGGCCCTTGCTGTGATAGGGCAGTGGCTAGCCTGTCAATAGCAGCGGTTCGATCTCACATTAACCTGGCTCTTTCCGCCTCAGCTTGCTTATAGGCAGCAAGGCGTTCCGCATGCCTTCTCTCTCGATTCGCTTCTGATTCATGCAGATATTTCAGAAGGCCTGCCATGAGTGTTTGGTTGGGTGTTTGACGACGCTTTTTTTTTTTGTGGTCGTAGCTGACGAGGTGGCGGGTGTTGGTGTTGGTGGTATCTGGTGGTGTGTTGCGTGGTGTTCATGGCTGGCCGTGTCATCTCTAACATGTGGGCTGTCGGAAGCCTGCTGCTCGACACTTTCTCTGCCTGTGCTCCCAGACGGTTGATCTCTGGCAGGAGAGTATGCATTACACAAGATGAACACAAAGTAGCAT